GGGGACACTGGCATGGGATGCTTGGTTTGGGCCCACCAAGTGCCATGTTGGCTGGCCTGGCTCCCTACTGCATGGGTAGGCCGGTGGAGCAGTGCGACCCTGCTTGGCTCTAGTGCAGGGTGGGGTCACCATTGGTATTGGCAGTGATGGTAGTGATGCCACGGTGAGTTCCCTCACCTTCCAGTACACACGTACCTATCCCAGACACCGGGACCTCACACTACACAGCTGCTTTGTATCATGAAACCCAAGAGGACATGATCATTTACTACCAATGTTCCCAGTACTTCCACTTCGTCAATCAGTTCCTCCCTGTTGGTTAGGACCACGTCCAAGAGAGATGACTGCCTTGTTGCTTCTTCCACTTACTGGGAAATGAAATTGTCAGCAAGGTGGTTGAGGAATCATAGAATCATAGAGTTGGAAGAGACCACAAGGGCCATCGAGTCCAACCCCTGCCAAGCAGGAAACACCATCAGAGCACTCCTGACATATGGTTGTCAAGCCTCTGCTTAAAGACCTCCAAAGAAGGAGACTCCACCACACTCCTTGGCAGCAAATTCCACTGTCGAACAGCTCTTACTGTCAGGCAGTTCTTCCTAATGTTTAGGTGGACTCTTCTTTCTTGTAGTTTGGATCCATTGCTCTGTGTCCGCTTCTCTGGAGCAGCAGAAAACAACCTTTCTCCCAAATTCTCTTCAACAAATTCTAACAAAGGAATTTGTTAGACTTTACATTCTTGGCAGAGTTTGAGTTCCAATAGATATTGAGGTATCTGAAGTCTCCCATGACTAATTTATCTCTCCTTTTTGAAGGTTTGGTAATCTGCTGCAGGAAGCTATGGGCCTCTCGCAACTCCCATCAGCCCCAGTGAGGAGGGCCAATGGAGAGGGATGATGGGAGTTCTAGCCTAGTTCTGAGGTGTTGCTGGCCTCAGGAGTGGAGTGGCAGCCTGAGATGGACAAGAAGGGGGGATGACATGGGAGGCATGAGCCCAGGATACAGAGGCTGGAGGAAGTGGGTGCTTGCTCCTCTGGGGCAGTGGCTACCCTAGATGGGAAGCAGGACTCCCATCTCCTGTCTACCCTTCTGGGCAAAGAGCACAGTGATGCCATCTGGGGAGTGCATCAGCCCACCTCTAGTGAAAGAGAAACCAGAAGGGAGGACAAGGCCTGATTGCCCAGCACCCAGTGGTGTTCCCATCCCTGGGAACAGTTTCACTGACCAAGTGGCTATCTGCCTGCTCAGCAATCTCACAAGGCAGAAGAATATCATGAGCAGACTCTCCTTGCCCTGTCTTTAAAAGCTTGGCGGGTGGGTATGCTGACCCATTGTGACAACTCCATTGCATCTGTACAGTTCTGAATCCCTTGCCCTGATCTTGGACTCCTTAAATGTGGACCACTTGGCTCAGCTAGCCTAGTCTTTCCTGTCCTCTAGCCAAAGCGTAGTGACTCATTGCCCATTGTGGAGCCTGTAAATCTTCTCTGCTTCAATAAATATATCTTCTTTACTCTCAAGGAAGAGTGTAGATGGTCTGGGTGGGAGCTAGGATGGGTGGTGGTGGTGGAGCAGGGTCAGTTAGGGGGTATCCTGGAGTGAAGGGGAGGGATGTGGCTTAGGGGAGCATCCTGAGGTTGGATAGAGGCCTAGCAGGCCACATTTGGTCCTGACCTTGAGGTTCCTCACCCCATATTAATTATTTATAAGGAGGAGAAGCAGAGAGGATACAAGGCTGTTGTTTTCCATGATTGCTAACTACATGCAACAGCATCTATGCATGATCTCATTCACACTGGAAAGTATCATTCCTGCAATTCACACCGTCTCCCCTACCTTCAAAAAGAAAATACTGGGAGAGAAAAATCTATGAAGATTTAGAAAGGAAAAATAAAAATTCTGTGTGGCCTTGAAATCTTAGATGGATGTTTAATTGTTGGCCCAATAAAAAATATCCTCTCCATCACGTCTTTTGTCTGAGCAAAAGATCTCAAAGGAAACATCAGACTAAATAGGGCAAGGAAAAAGGTCTATGGTTTCAGCCTCTCTAATTCTCTTGAGCCGCTTCCCCACGTAGACCTCTCACTCCCGGAGCCCCGTCTCCAAACACTCGCCCCATGGAAGTGATAACCTGTAGATTTGGCAATGGACATAACGTTTTACTAAGGGAGCTTACGCAAATATTATCGCAAGTGAAATGAGGGTTTAATTCTATTATCTGTAGCTTTTCTTTCTTGGGGGTCAAAAGTACAGAACGTGGTCATGTTGCCTTTATAGACTTGGAGAAACAAGAGGCCTGTTTTGAAACCAAATAATTAGTCATCCAGAACAAATGTCCCACACTGCACTCCAACTGCTGAGGGAAACTCTTCTAGAGGGGCGAAGCAAGAGTTTTTGAGATTTCCTGTATATGTTTTTAAGCAGCCTCGTACCCAGCATTGCTTGGGAATTCTAAGAAACAAAAAAATTCAGCACTCTTTTGAAATCAGTGAGTAAATTCAGTGCAGTTTTGAAAGGCTCAGTCCATCATCTTGATTCAAAATGCTGTCCAGACGTATCCAATAATAGACGACCTCAGGAACTGTTATGCAAAATTGGGTTACAGTGTCTTAAGAGTATCCAGGAAAGTGCTTGCAAAGCAGTACCTGCAGGATTGAACCCTCTTGCTTGCAGTGTGGTTGGGGGAGGGGACTCAGCATGTCCTTCTTCCCCATCCCACCACCTTCCAACTGTAGGTTTAATTAATTAATCCAACCCCTGAATTTATGCAGGGTCAGATCCAGGCTATGTGTCCCACAAGCTAGCCTATGTTGAGGTTGACCCAGCGTCCCAGATCGGGTAGGGGGTACTGTGCACAGGCCTAATTGTAACTGGCCATAGGTCTCTCAATAAGCTTCCTAGCCAAGTGTGGATTTGAACCTAGCTTTTTATAATTTTGATCCAACACACTAACCATCACACTAGGGATGGAGAAAACTATGACCTTCCAGATTTTTTACTTCAACCTCCATCGTCCCCAGCCAGCATTGACAGTGATCAGGAGACTATTGGGAACTGCAGTCCAACAACATCTGGGTTCCTCACAGTTTCCCCATCCTTGAACTGTGGCATGTCAGATCTGTGGTGTTGAAACACCTTAGACAGAGCAGGCAGAGGTCTCCAGTAGGGTTCAGGAGCCAGAGGCTGACTGCAAACATATCTGCAACCCTCCCCAGCACAGGGTTATAACAACAGTCACAACCTTGACGCAGAGCATTTCTTGGGAAATTAATGACCGGTTGGGGTTAATGTGCCAAACAGATTCATCCAGCTGGTCATTAATTTAAAAGGAAGGCTCGGAGAGTCAATCATGATTTTCAAATGCAAAGGAGACCCTGGCAGGCATGGCAACACCACTGGCCCCCCTCCTTTCCCCAAATTTGGAGGGCACCGAATCTCGCCCCCACCCCTTTGACAAAATTGTTTGGGAAATAACATGCAAGGAGAGGGAATCCCACAACCTCTTTGAAATGGGGTCGTAGGGAGTTAAACTACATAAGAACCCAAGAAGACCAACCTAGCTTGCACTCCCAAACGATACAGAATCTGAAATACAGCCATCTTTTGAGATCCACACTGTTCCAAATTCCGCAGTGCAGTTCTGCAACCAAATCATTGGTACAAAGAATGCATATACGAGGGTAAAGTGTGCAAAGAATGCATATATTAGTAAAAATAGTATACAAAATGCATAATATTATGAGAAACTGGTTGCAAAACATGAAGATTATATGCAAAATTGCATATAAAAATGTGTACATTAGGAGAAACTCTTACGAATTTTCATGAGGACTTTTGTACGAACCACAAACTGATGTGGAAATATGGATAACTGAACTTAAGCCTGGAAAAATGAGAAAATGAAAGAAACCAAAATTGACCAGTTAAGGTAAAAAGATGCCAACTGCTGGATCCAGTCAAAGACCCATGTAGTTCAACATCTTGTTCTCACAGCTGATAACAAGATGCCTACGAGAAACTTGCTAGCAGAACCTGAGTGCAACATCTTTCTCCCAGCATATGGTACCCAAAAGCATACTGCCTCCAACAGTGGAGGTACAACATATCCATCATGGCTACTTGACACTGATAACCTTCTCATCCTCATCCTCTTTTAAAGTCATCCAAGTTGGTGGCCATCAATGCTTCCTGGGGGAGCAAGTTCCATAGTTTATTCACTGCATGAATAACTACTTTTTAAAAAGCTGTCCCGAATCCTCCAACTTTCATTGGATGTCCACAAGTTCTAGTGATACAAACTTCTATCATCAGAGATTTACAAGCTCTCCTAGACAACGACAGTTCTCTTTCTCAAGCTCTGGGAGGAAGACCTTTCATTGCCTACAGACAGCTACCCAATTTTAAACAACTCATCACCCACAATAATACAGCAACCAGACTTAACATGGACACTGGTACCAGAGCCTGCAATAAGCCCAGATGCCAATTTTGCTGCCACATACACCCAGACAACACCATCACTGGACCCAACAACATCAAACATACAATCTCAGGCCTATTTAATTGCTCATCTTCTAACATTGTGTATGCCATCAAATGCCAGCAGTACCCTTCAGCTCTCTATATTGGACAAACAGGCCAAACCCTATGCCAAAGGATAAATGGACATAAATCTGACATCAGGAATCACAAGACAGAGAAGCCAGTAGGAGAACACTTCAATCTCCCAGGACTTTCAATACAGGATCTCAAAGCAGCTGTCTTATTACAAAAGAATTTCAGAAATAGACTTGAAAGAGAAGTTGCTGAATTACAACTTATTACTAAACTGAAAACTATGGAGAGACCTGGTCTGAACAGAGATATTGGATTATTGTCTCATTACACACGCTAAAGCTATTTTTAGTCATCTGCATACTGTCCCTTGCTTTTTCGTAGATTCAGGTAGGTAGCTGTGTTGGTCTGACATAGTCAATATATATATAAAAATAAAAAATATATATCCAGTAGCACCTTAGAGACCAACTAAGTTTGTTCTTGGTATAAGCTTCCATGTGCATGCACAAAAGCTTATACCAAGAACAAACTTAGTTGGTCTCTAAGGTGCTACTGGACAATTTTTTAATCTTTTAATTTATTTAAACTTCTATCATGTCCCTGCTTACTTGCCTTTTGTTAAATCTAAAAAGTCCCAAACACTACAACCTTTCTTCATAGTGGAGATCATTTCTTGATCATTTTGTTTGCCCTTTTCTGAACCTTTTCCAACTCTACAATATCCTTCGTGACGTGAGGCAACCAGAATCATACACAGTAATCCAACAGCATTATGATATCAGCAGATTTCTTTTTGATTCTCTCTTTGGACTTTTGATTTGGATTTTTTATTCTCTCTGTGGTCTTTTGCTTTTTCCACAGCTGCAGCACACTGGGTTGACAACTTCATTAAACTGTCCTCTACAAACTCAAAGTCTCATTAGCTTCCATGAGAATATATGTGAAGTTAAGATTTTTGCCCCCACCATGAATCACCTTACACTTGCTTGCATTGAATTTCATTTGCCATTTTGCCATCTATTCACTCAGTTAGGAGAGGTCGTTCTGGAGCTCTTAGCAAACTTTTTAAAAAATAAAATAAAATAAAATAAAATAAAACCCTGAACAATTTAGTATCATCAGCAAACTTGGTTGCCTCACTACATCTCTTCATTTGGAGAACTGTTCATTTATTATTCCTCTTCCCTGCTTCCTGCTTCTTAACTAATCCCTGCTTAGAAGGACCTCTCTTCTTCCATTGAAAACTGATCCCTGGATGTCCTCTGGGGCCCCACTCACCTGTCAAAAATGCCCTGCAGAGGGTGGGCTGAAGTGGCCAAGTCGTAAGTTTTTTGTGGAGTTTCTTTTATTCACATTCTGGCTTCCCAATTCCTCCACTGTTGCCTTGCTAACACTTGGCGTAAAGGCCCCCAAAAGTGATAACAAAGGCTTTTAAAGAATATTACAGAATATTCCTTTATCATGTCCACCCTTTCAGACAGACAGATTCTTTTCTTTTCTTTTGCTATTGTTCTCATTCCAGACATAATGACATGTGGAGTTGAATGGGTCATGGAAGGGGGCACATAAGTGTAACACTTGGCAAATTCACCTCAGTCTGCTGTCTCGTATGGGCTAACTGCCCTGTATGTAGCTTCCCTCAAAGAATCCCGCTAGCTGGGAGCTACTAGAACACCCCTCTTTCCCTCAAAGCAATTCAATTCCCAGAGTAGTTTAACAATCAGTCCCTCTTTCCAGGAAAATTCCACAAATACCTTTCCCCATCCTGGGCAGTAAAAATATGCAACAACAACAACTCACAATTTGCTGCCCTAGATAATTTACTAGTGAGGCAGCTGCCCCACTCTGCCTAGTAGAAGAGATGGTCCCACCGTGGGAATGCTGCTAGTGTTGACTTAGTTTGTACATAACACTAAGCCATGGTTTCATAAATGGGGACTCAGGAAACCATGGTTTGTCTGCTCAGTAGCTTAACTATGATTTGTTCTCAGCTGAGAACCAGCTAGGATACACTGTTCAACAATGTCACGAAACTGGGTTGCTGAAACCCACGGACACAAACTGAGAATACATCCCCAATATAGACAGCACTTCTCAACATCTGCACACCACTGGGGAGAGATGCATAGCTGTGGGACCTTTTCCCACTATTACTGCTCTTATTTTTGAGTAACCTCTGATTAACTCCTCTGGAACCCAACATCCCCCTGAATACAGTCTCAAGACCACAAACATGGCATGCAACGAAATATTTCTTTCTTCACTTGTGTGTTCTTTATAGCTGACCACATGGGGGCAGGCTTGTACCTGGCTTATATCCTCAGGCCTCTCTGCTACCTTTCCAGCAATACTTCCTTTGGTCTATCCTTCGTTAACTAGGCTTCTTAAGAATCTGTAGCCAGGCAGTTGCATTTCACATGCTTAAAATGCAAGGAAAGGCTAACTGATCCTTTCTAAATCATCCAGACACGCTGACTGTGAATCCTTCCACGCATTGGCACAAGTACACATATAAGAATGATAGTACTTTCCAATGATAATATTTCCCCATGATTTATGATGTTCAGGTGGTGAATGCAAAGAAGGAAGAGCAGGAGAGGCCTTGAAGTTGTCCCTCAACAGACTATGCAGGCCACCCAGCGTACCTGGTCAGAGCCTTTCTTTAAACATAAATGAACTGCATTTATATTTAAACACTAATAATCAGATCTAAAATTACACCCATCTATCCATATGTTAGCATGTGCAGATTTTATGCAAATCTTTCTTCACTTTTCTTGGTGATATGTTGGGTCCATTGCTGCGCTTCTGAGGAACAACTGTACAAATCCAACGTGGTTAGGTGTAAGGTTGCATTCAACCAAGTCCGGCTCAGAGTTGATCCACTGAAATGATGATACCCAAGTTCATAGATTTTCATAGAAGGCAATAGAAGAGAATTGGGGAGGGGGGACCAGTGGGAGTTATGAGAATAAGTTGCTTAGAAAACCCCAAAACCAAACCTAGCTAGTGCATATTTACTAAGAGAAGTATCATGTTGTAGCTTAAGAGGTTATAGCTTCACTGAGCTATTTTTATTTGTTTATTTAGAAAAATGTAGAACACACACACACACAACAACAACAACAACAACAACAACAACAAAAAACCCATTATTTCTTTATTTAGTACTCCAAAGAGTGCCAGACAGTGTACATGGTGCCCCCATCCTCATTTTATTATTCTTACAACAACTGACAGAGAGTGGCCCAAGGTCACTTCATGGCTGAACCAAAAAGGAAATACTAAATGCATATCTTTGGGAAGGCTTACTTAGGTATATAAACATTTAGGTTATGCTCCAAGGTTATAAGTGCTGCTACCACACTGAAAGATTGACTGCTATGAGATGCAGAATGAACATGAAACGGTACTTGTAAATTAAATTTCTACCCAGAATTCGAGGTGACTAAATGGGAACATATAGGGCTAGGCAATACTTCAAGTAAACTGGTACCAAGTTGTTATAGTAGAGATGTGTCAGACATTAAAGGTAAAGGTACCCCTGCCCGTACGGGCCAGTCGTGTCCGACTCTAGGGTTGTGCGCCCATCTCACTTAAGAGGCCAGGGGCCAGCGCTGTCCGAAGACACTTCCGGGTCACGTGGCCAGCATGACGAAGCTGCAGCTGGCGAGCCAGCACCAGCGCAGCACACGGAAACGCCGTTTACCTTCCCGCTAGAAAGCGGTACCTATTTATCTACTTGCACTGCTAGGTGGGCAGGAGCTGGGACCGAACGACGGGAGCTCACCCCGCCGCAGGGATTCGAACCGTCGACCATACGATCGGCAAGTCCTAGGCGCTGAGGTTTTACCCACAGCGCCACCCGCGTCCCTGTGTCAGACATTACCTGCTACTATCTTGTAAAAGTGGAAGGTGATATTCTGCTGTTTTGGCTGGTGGGTTCATGGTGCACTGCAGTCACATGAACATCCCAGAAAGAATGGGTCAGGAGGCTGAGGAGAGTCTTGCCTTGCTCTGAGTGGGCTCAAAGCTTATTCTTTTCTTAAGTTAAAGAGAAGGAGAACATAGGAACACAGAAAACTGCCTTATACTGAATCAGGCTGCTGGTCCATCCAGCTCAGTATTGTCAACACCGACTGGCAGTAATTCACCAGAGTTTTAGGCAGGGATTTCTCCCAGCCCTACCTAGAGATGTGGGGGACTGAACGCTGAAACTTCTGCATGCAAAGCAGATGTTCTCCCATTGAGCTATGGCTGTGGTGGGCTTACCTTGCAAACCTGACCTAAGAGCCTGTCTCTCTTTTACTGATGGGAGCCAGTGTGGGAGGCAATAATAGTCTGAAAAGTGGGATAAAATACAGTAAGTAAATATTTGTTAGATAACTGTGAATGCCACTGTTTTGTTGATGTGGTGCCAGCATTTTCAATTATGGTACATTTCTGCAGTTGGGCTTGTTTGGGATTTGTATAGAAGGTGTTTGCAACCAAACAAGTAACAAATCAGGCGTTCTAGCGTTGCCTCAGCTAGTCCATTCAGGTAGCAATAGCAGCGACCATTCAGTTTGTAATCTAAGGGTTAATTCTGTTGTTAGGAAGTCAGCTAGCCAAGAGAGGGATGGGTGGAGGTGTTGGCAACCAGGCAAAATGGCATGACCTTTGCTGAGGTAGCATGTGCCTTGATTAGTTGCATGATTCTGAGGGAGTTTTTCCTCTGTATGTTTGGTTGTATGCCTTCATGTTATATACAAGACCTGACCAAAGCAAGACAAAGCCTCTCTGTTAATTTCTCCTCAAATTATACTCCGCTTTTGTTCAGTTTTCCTTAGTAAGCTGCTACAAGGATTTTCTTTCTCTCTGGATACCATTGTTCCTAAAAGCCTAAAAGGCCAAGATTCATGGTCACAGTGTCTATTCCAGCCAAGAAAATTATCCATCAACCATACCTTTCTTCTTTTTTTTATTTTCCTTTTGTGAAGAGGGGATAATGTTGAGGTGAGCGGGAAATGCCAAGTTCTTTTCTTTAAAAGGTTTGTTTTAATAAAGAAGAAACTTTGAAAAATGTGTTTCATTTATGGCGCGTGCTAGGCAAACAAAGCCTGACGATATTGGTATGGTAGTTACAAGCGAGTTAGGCCCTAGGCCTAGGAGATACTGTGTTTTTACAGATGGCCCCCTGTCCTTTAGATCTAAACCTATTACTTAAATTTTCCACATAACAGCTTCCCAAAGATGTCTTTGAAAATTTTTAAAGGCAACACGGACTTAATACTTTAATATAATCAGGCCCGATTCGATACAGATTGGTCGGGAGCACCAAATATCTGAGGATGTATCTTGGGTTGTATCTAAATCTGGACTTCCGTGCATAGTTTTTGTGTCTGAAAGCTCTCCGCAAGCCCTACGGTCTGCAAGGCAGCTCAAGCAGCTTAGACCAAATATGAACCATGTGCCTTCAGATGCCTCTAAGCTCACTCATCTTCCTTTTGTCTGTTTAGTTAGCCCTTGAGCCTCGGAAAACGGGGAAGGATTTCTCAGCCCGGCCTCTAACGGTATTGC